TGCAGCCATCATTTCTTCACTTCAGGCACCAGTCAATAGAGGGCACATCTCCGAATCTTATGACACTTTGCAAGGATTCGGCCTGGCAGCGACCTGGCTGTGCAATAATCGTAATACCAAGTGCATGCGCGGTGCCGCCAGGCTAAGAACGACTCCGATGACATGTGCCCGCAAATTGAGAGAAGTTACATCGTGATAGCCTTTCTCGTTGTCGAGACCCGGATTCGTGGTGGGTATTAAAGAGCCAGCAAGGCTACATCAAAACGAAAAATATTCACGAAACAAGCGACTGTTTTGGGGCTTGAAACACTACATCCCACAGCCTGAAAGCTGTGAAAGTCTCTAGCTCGATCCCCGACCACGGCTGGGCTGCTGACGCCGGGTCCAGCCTCAGCGACCGATTCGCTAGTTTCGGGGGAGATTCGTTGACAGGCAATTGACAGGTCACTCGAATTCCCACAGGAAGACTGTAAAAATACGCACAGAAAAACCAACAAGCAAGCAAGCAAGCCAGCAAGCCAGCAAGCAAGCAAGCAAGCATGCACATGCTCATGGTTCCCCAACCACAACCCAAACAACAACAACAATAGAAACGGCGGAGATGAGAACATGATTTGGAGGTGATGGGGCTGCGGGGTCTAGAGATCTTCGTCAGGAGATCTGGCGAAATCCGTGTTGCGTGCATTTGCGTGCAAGGTGCACGTCTGTTCAGAGTTGTGAGTTGTCTTTATAGCTTGGTTTTGGCAGGATTTCGGTCCTCAGGTAGAGCGATTGGGCTGCTCGTGGGACTTCGCTGCACGATTGAGGACTGAGGCTGTCCGCAGCTATCTCTGTTTTGGGTTCAAGCGCTGCAGCAAGGTCCTGCAACACAGTAGAGGGTAAGGGTGTAGGATTGAACCAAGCTGTCAAGCAGATCTCCGCAATTCCAGATCCCATTTCAATCAACCCAAAGTAAAGATGGAAGGCTGAAGCTCCGGTTTGAGGCCGCAGAGTAGCGGAAAGAAGAGAACGGCCTCCGAAACCACGGGAAGCCGTGCCCCAGGCCGAAGGCGGCGCTGAGGATCCCCCCCGCTCGCGGTAGTTCGGCGGCGGTCCCTGAAGTTTGGAGGTCTTGCTTTGCACGAAGCGCCCTGCAGGTTTGTGACCAATGTCTCGTACATGAGCTCACTTTGAAGAGATAGTTGTCTTGTGGAAAAGTGGTGTATGGAAGGCATCATGCTGCCATGCGCACTGCCAAGCCATGCAGTATAGTCTCGTGCTCTCGCGGTTTTCCTGGAAAGGCCAGACATGCCAGACCCTTGCCAGGCGGCCCTGCCTCTGGCGGAGGCCCATACCTCGGCGGGTAGCCTGCCACAAGGGTTCGGTCGGTTTCAGGTCTCGACTTGCAGCACCAAAACCTGATGATCTGGCTTTCAGACCACCCTGAAGCCGTCGCAGGTCGGGCCTGGGTAGTGGTGGTAGCCTGGCGGCGGCCCGTATGGAGACGCCTGAGAGGCAAAGCCCAAAAGCTGCAAGCTGCGTGCGCTTCAATCCTGGACACATTTGGTGTGTGCGAGTATGTATATAGTTGTGTGCATATTGTATGTGGATATGCATATGGAAAATCAATCCTTTTTACTATACGTAAACATACACGAGACACGCGCGATTGAGGAAAGAACCCTGCGACGAATCACTGCAGGAGCGAAGGCTTCGTCCTTGGAAGAACTCAAAGTTCGACTGCTGGCTTCTGAGCGTGCCACTGCAGGACCACCTGAGCAAGTGTTGCTTCTTGTTGCTGCGCAAGACTTCTGGGGTGCCTTATCCCTCTTGTCCAAAAAGTCTTCTTGTAGCCAGCTCAACTTGCACGGGCAAGGCTACAAACTCCCGGCTGTTCTGCTTTCGATCTGGAGCTTTGGTCGCTGGGTCACTGTCTTCGGATTGCTTTTGAAGCCCGTATCGGGTATTGACTTTGGACAAAACCTAGCAGCGATCGGTCTTCCCAGGCCGAAGCGCTAACTCGCAAACGCTTTGGGGCCCCTGGTGCGGCACAGGGTTCTGCTTGGCTTGGGTATACTTTCAGAGGCTGGGGCGTTAGAGGCATCAGGGCCTGCAGGTTCCATGACATGTAGAGGCCCCAGAAGACCGAGACCAACGACAAATGACTGCTCCGCCCAACATAGATGAAAGAGGAAGCCGCAGTGCCAAGCATCGACTCATCATACACATCCCCACATTCTCATGATTGAACCAGGGAGTGCAAGCGAGCTCGATGTCTGCAGCCTCCAGTAGGTTTACTGACCAAGGATGGCACGGTGTGAATGATAAGGCGGCGGGCGCGAGGGTGGATACCTGTGTGCATCTTCCACAGTCAAATTTTCGGTGGCAGGATGATGTCCAGAACTGACAGCTGTTGCAAAGGATGCGACATCCGGAAGCCCGAAATCCAGGTTCCCTGTGTTCAACGCTGGACAGCTGCAGGGTTCTGGGGTGGGAGGTTTGATCGCTCACGGAGGCTTGCCGCCCCTTTCTGCCTGGCTTCCCTTATGCTGCCTGCTGCATCCTAGAATCCTGCTGTAGCACTCCCGGCTGCGGCACCTTAAACATCAAACCCCGATCGCTGAATCGTAAAATCACCTCGATGTGTCCCGAAGTGCGTGCAGTTAGCCGCTGCCTGAAACCACTTTGTGACTTATCCTTGACATCTGAAACGCTCCCAGATGATTCATCTGAGGCCACGCACGGTGCAATGTGCGGAGGGCCCTGACAGCTTCAGTGCTCGGGGCTCCCGCGACTTTTCGGACTATTTGGCTGTTGCAACAGAGCTTTTCCTCCACCTCTTTTCCCTGGAGCTTCAGGTTCGGAGCTCGGAGCCGAAGCCGGCAAAAAAAAAGAAATGCAACCGGATGTTCTCTGCACTGCTTGGAAGGCAGCCTGAGGGGATTTGGGCAGACAGGCCCTCACAAGTAAAGCCGATGTTAAGCCTATGCTTCCTAATCAAAGCCGCATGCCACTGGCACGAGCTGGGGCCAGTGCCTGGCCAGGGGCTGACGGATCAAGATTGCATTGAGTGCATGTTGCGGGAAGCTTGGCACGCTTGTCGAGAAGCGTCGTTTGCGACCGAGAAGATTTCGGGAGCGCGTCGCGTATCTCTTACAGTAAATCATGAAGCGCAATCTAGCACCCGAAATGCACACCCTCATCTGAAAGCGTAAAGCCTGAGCCCTGACTGAACCTCCGAACCTCAAACAGATTTCACATCGGAAGCTGCAAACACTTCGAAACGCTGACTCTGAGGCCGAAGCGGCCATGTGTGGCGGCGGTCCCCAGCCGTGGTACCCGGGCGGAGGTGCCTGGGGACCGTGCTGATACGCCATTCCTGGTGCTACCGCGATACTACTCCTACCACCACTACTGGCACTGGCACTGGCACTGCCACTGCACCACTACCACCACCACCACCACTACCGCCGCCACCACCACCACCACCACCACCACCACCACCACCACCCCCACCCCTGCTGCTGCTGCTGCTGCTGCTGCTGCTGCTGCTGCTGCTCCTACTCCTACTCCTGCTCCTGCTCCTACTAAGTCCTACTAATATCGTCATCATCATCATCATCATCACCATCACCATCATCACCATCACCATCACCATCATCATCATCATCATCCTGACCATCACCATCATCATCATCGTCATCATCATCATCATCATCATCACCACCCTCATCCTCGTTCTCATCCTCATCGTCATCGTTCTCGTCGTCACTGTAATTCTCATCCTCATCGTCATCACCTGCTGCCACCGCTCTGTCACTGTGACTGCTACTGGTACTGCGACTGCGACCTCAACCGTGACTGCACGTGACCACGACTGCTGCTACACTCCAACTACAATGACCGGCATGACCACTGGTGCTGTTCTCGACCAAGGTTTTGGGGGTTTACTTCAACTGAGCTTGGTGAGTCGATCTCGGGGCCCGGCCGTCATGGCTCCAATGCCAGTGCTGCTAGAAAACACAGCTGTTTCTGACTTCTGTGAACCCTGTGTGTGAGGTCGCTGCGTTATTTGCTAGACTCTAGGGATCACAATGCTGGAATGCCACTTCGTCTCCCTCAACGCCTCGGCTTGCATAGCTAGAGGTACAATCTGCCGCAGGATGTGGAAAATGCGAGGTGACGTGTGGAGTATCTGCATGAAGGATCTGGGGATGTGTGCGCTCTTCGTTGGGTTCAAGTAGGTAGGGCCTCTATGACACTGGTTGTTGCAAGGTTGAAGGTGCAGCTTCAAGGGTCTAGAGTCCGGGATGTTGGTCATGTTTGGCTAAGTTGGGTGCTGTTGCCTCCTGCACGGATGTTTAACCCACGGTTCTTGTGGCCATGCTCCCCCGCCGCCACCGCGCCGACGCTTGGAAGAAACGGCCACACAGACACAAACGTCACACCCTAAGATATATGAGACTCTAAGGATCATAATGCCGTACAAGACACGCCACCCCAATCTCAAGAACCAAAAACCTTTCCAAAGTTTAATCCAACACAACACTCGATCTCATCCACCAAGATAAAGATATGGACTTGAAGCTTCAACCTTGAACCCTTACTGCTTTCTGCACCCATGTGCCTTAAATCGAGACAGCAGCTTTCCAAAAGCATAAGGATCGATCTTTACAAGTCAGGGGCGAATGAGCCGTCCTTCATGTCTGTATAAGCTTGCTTCTCGCATACGGCACCACGTGGTACTGGCAGCAAGGCCCTCCGAACACCCAAGCATCGAAGTGGCAACTTTGAGCTTTTTTCGGGGGGAGGTGTTCTATCAAGAACCCGAACATCAAAGGACACCACCGGGCGTGACACGATTTTTTGCAGCGGCTCTGAAAATGTCGGGATTGAAGACGTGGGGGCTGCGCTTGAGATTACTAGCTTTGCATGTTTTCCATTACTCGCCGAGCTCGGACAGGGGGGACCTCTGCGGACTCTAGAGACTCCAGCGTTCAGGGCTCAATCCTTGCAAGGGTTCAGAAACCGCCACAAGGCCGGGAGTGGGGAGATGCAACCCACGCATCACCGTCGAAGCTGCCATGCTGCGAGTGAGGCGAGTATCCTGGGGCATCGGCATGCGAAGTACAACCACTGAAGCGCCAACCCAGAATAACAGCACAAACACCTCAGGACTCGAGAATCTGATCAAGGAACCTCGTGGCAGCACTTGGGCTTCAGAGTTTGCTCGTGGAGTCGACAAGCGTAGAGTTCGGGCCACCCCTCGTGAACAGCGGACTCGGTTTGGGGAGGTCGTCTCGGCGACCTTAGCAGCTCTTGCGCTGTTTCTCCTGATCACCTAATCCCAAATGAAGCCAGATCCCTGGCGAGTCCTGAACCGTGGAAGCTGTCCGGCGCCGAGGTCATCCCCACCTTCTCCGTGGATGAATTGAGGCCCCAACCGGAAGCTGGAGATACCAACGGATAGAGTGCGGGAGAGGCTTCATTTCAGAAGACATCAACAATCTGAACTGCTGCTGACATCCCAACCTCTCTGTCTTCCCGAACCGCTGCCTCTGCATGAGCTGCATGCCACTCCCAAGGGACCTTGCCGAGCCCCGGGCGCTTCAGGAGATACGCTCCCTAGGGTCTGCACGGTCAGAGAATCTTTCACTGTGAACTGCAGACTGTTCGCCGTAACGTTGCAGCAGTCAAGCGCTGTCTGTACCTGATGATCCTGCTTGGCCGTGGGACACTTTGGAGCTCTGTTTCTCTCCCCAGCGCCCTCCCCTTCATTTGGGGCCTCTTTGCATGCCCAGCTTTGGGTCATAGCACTGTCAGTAACTTGTGTCTCAACCGTTATGGGCCAGGAGAGAGCCGGTAGTCGCCCAGAGCAAGATCTTGGTTTTCAGTGACACTGTCCTTGCACACCTGGACAGAGTGTGTCTGGATGTTCTGCATGCCGCGGTCTGGCAAGTCCGTGAACCCCAAGCTCACGGAAGGCAAAGACTCGGTCCCTGGACTAACACCCCCGCGCTCTGAATCCCACTCTGAAGCCCTGAAATCTTGGACCTCGCACCTCGCAGCTCGCATTGCAAAACGTAGAGCGGACTTGGAATTGCAGGATTGAAAATCATTGAAGGAGCCTGCACGTGGCCCCAGGCATCGGCGGCATCTGTGTAGGACCAGCCATGCACCTTGGTATTTTTTGACCGTTAAAGCGGGTTAAGATGGGTTAAGGACCGTCTTCGCGAGGGCACCCAGGAGGTGGGGCTTTGGTGTTTTCTTCTTCGCGCTGCAGGCCTCTGGTTGCAAGCTCGCTTCCGGCCCACGCTTTAGCCCGAACAACAGACCCGTCCTTTGCATGCCTGTGCCCACAGAGGGTCCCAAGAGCCAAGAAATACACCTCACGGCCCAACTGTCAACAACACAGAGTTTCTCTGTTTGAGGTACAATCATGGAACCTCGACACCGTTGCTCCCAGAATTCAATTCTTCCTTTCCCTCGGTGCCTCGTCCGGGGTCTCGACTGAATAATGGCACTCGGAAATCGATATTCTTGGAAATCTTTAGGTGCTAGAGGTCGTTCTCGTCATTGGGGACCCATCTACGGATGCTGGTGTTCGGCATTTCCGGTGTAAGTCACACGTTTCCCAAGCTGCCCTTGGAGCCATTCGACCGATGAGTTCCCATGTCCTCGGCCAGGCGGCGTCCTCTCCCTGCCATATCCTGCGATGCAACGGCGGATGTCGGAAGTATGACAAGTTCCCGAACATGTCCATTAGCCGAACTGGAAATATCGCAATCGGTAGGTGGTTCTCCGTCAAGGGTCTCGGGCAGAGGGCGTTTAGATCTTCAGCAACCCCAAGCTCAGACTCAAGCTCCCATCACGGCCAAGCCTAGCCCGACAAACAAATCCTTTCCCAAAGGGAGTGTCCGTACAAACACATATAATGGAGGATTCTCATGAAACCTCGGTTGCATTCAGTGTAGGCAACAACAACCTTGGTGTGCCCCCTCCTCAGTGTAGACGCCGCTAGTTTGCTGTTTTCGGCAGATCAGCACACCAAGAAACTGTCCGCAATGCTGATTTACCACCAGCCCAAAGAGGATCCTCATTCCCGGCGCAAACGCTTGCGTCCCTGGCAAAGTAGCCGCTGCAGCTGTTGCCTTAACTGTTGGAGCTAAAGTCTTCGAGGTGGAGGATGAAAAATTGGGATATCCAGTGCATAGACTGCTGCAGCTTTAGGGACTTTGGAACCATGACCGGCAAGAAGGATAGGTTGGTGTTACACAACTGCCTCTGCGTGGTTGTCTGAAAAGCACGGGGCGGATGCCTTAATCTAACGGCCTCAACCCTCAAGTCTGAAAGCAAATTCCCAAACCTCAGCCGCACGTAGTTGTTGACTTGGGGGAAGTTCAAACGAGAAAATGCAAAATTCCGACGTTGGCGATTTCAGAAGGCGGGTTCAATTGGAGAATCATGCCTAAGCATTCTTAAGCATCACTGTTCGCTCAGGCCGACAGGCTGTGCTTGGAGCTGGGCATTGGGCTTGGGGCTGAAGCCTTGCAATAAGATTCCTGGAATGCTCTGAGGCACATGTTCTGCAAGCGCAAACTGGACCATTGCCTGCACGGGCCGCGAGGGCAGGTTGGATCGTGATTGATTTATGTTTATAGGCAAGACAGCCAAGCCAGAATACAGTACACATCTTTTTTGGGCCAGACGACAAGTCAAGGGTATAGACTAGCTACATCTTCAAGAAAATACACCCCCACGCATCTTAGAGCAACGGAAGAGGCGCTATGCTCAGGCTGAAGGAAAGACTAGTCGTTAGACTGTCGCGTTCCATCACGTTGTGACGACATCGAGAAAATGCAAACTCGAAAAATGAGCAGGCCATCTACACCCTTTTTCAATGTACTGTCGGATCTGCAGCCGACCTGTTAAAGGTGGCGCCGAGGACGGCTAAAAGTTCACTTCACTGCTAATGAAACGAGTATCTAAGCATTGCTCGGGATACCGTCCCGTTAGGGAGGTGAATCAAGTCCAGGCAAGATGACCATGAAATGAAAAAAGCCATCAATACTGACGATTTTTGCACCCAGTCCTGTGGTTGTAGATTTCGTGCTCCCAACCTGCCAGGCACCATTGTACGTGTGACGTGTCAAAGCTGGTGAAGCCGTGGAGATTGCCGTGAGCTGGAATCATGTTGATCACGTGCTCAGGCTGAGTGAGCGTAAACAGCCCATTGGTATGCGTCGACCCTGTTCCGGTCCATTCAGCACGACGAGCCCAGACAGGGTCGATGACGTCACCTGCCTGATCGTAACCAAGGCTGAAGTTCGGTTACAGGAAACCAGTGGTTTGGAGCTTTTCGACAAAACCCACCGTGACCTGACGAGCTCTGGCATCTCGCTCTGGGACACCCTGTAGCGTGAAGAGGGGCCCAAAGGTAATGGGTCAGCTGGGCGTCTTCTCTGAGATTCGGCCCATGCTCTCGCCGGGCGAGTGAGGTCAAGGACAGCAGTGCTGCCAGCAGGATGATCTCCGTTTCGTCTCGAGGGGACGATGAAGGTGCTGGAGCATCCGTTTCCGGAGCTGAGGTGCCAAACTCTCTGCCCGGCGCCATAGCCGACCAATCGGCGTCATTGATGTAACTTGATGGATCACGGTTCACACGTCGAGGAGGGTCCCTTGAGGATCCAGGCCGGTTCCTTGTAATGGCGGAGCGTGTCCTGTTCCGGTCGGTGGCAGATGCTACATCGAGTTTGATGAGTCTTCAGAAGTTCTGTCATCTCAGACCTTAGATGGTTGAGCTGACCTGACATGGAATCGGCAGCAATCTGAGCTTGTGCCTTGGCAACAATCTTTTTCTGCATGATGCACAAACTCGTTGACAGTTGTTTCGGCTTGGTGACGTTTGATCTTCACATCCATGGCTTCTCTACGCATCTGAGAAACTTCCGGGGAATGCTTGATAGCCATGCCGCGCCTTTCGTCGGCTGCTTTTACTGCCTCTTCCTGAAATTGAAGACGGTTCTCGGCTTGAAGAAGCTCGAGCTTGAGTCTTGATGCACTGGAAATTGCCTCATGCTGAAGCCTGACAAACTGCTCCCTAAATTGTTCATTTCCTTCCTTCATGATTGCCGAATGCCTAGCTTCGGCTTCTGCGACAACAGCCGGTCCTGTATCAATCTGAACGAGGACCTGTTGGTTGAGGGTCGGTGCAAGCACTTGATTGTGGTAGGAGTTCGACACCTGTGAAATCTCATTGGGTGAGTAATGCAACGAAGTTGCAGCGGCTGGCGACCCCGCTAGAGGTGACAACGCAGGGGACGGTGTAGTAACGTATCCCATTCTGAAATCGCACATACCATTCGTCTTCTTGGGTCGTCCATTCCCAGCAATGCCAGCGACCTTTCAGTCCATAGTATAGTAGCTTCGCCGTCTCGGGGAGCGATGGCAAACTGATCCATGCTATCCTCCTGAACGGACATAGCAGGAAGTGAAGGCGCCTCCTGGGTTGTCGAGTGAGGTATACGCATGCCTGCAGGGCTTACGGGAGCTGGTTCCATTGCGAACTTCTTCGACCTTGGTGAGACTTACGGCTGATAACCTATGCTTGAGGCAAGACATCCAGAATGCAGTGCGCACATTTTCTTGAGCCAAACGACAAGTCATGGGTATAGACTAGCTACATCCTCAGCAAAATACATGATTCTAATAAGGGGATGTATTTTCGGGTCGCACAGCGGGTGCAGGGTTCGCAGAATCAAGTTGAACTTAGGTCTTAGTGTTACCAGTCGCCGCGCCAGACAAGGTGTTTCTGTTCTCGTTTTTCTGGTCGTTTAGAGACTTCGAGACTTCCAAAGAGGCTTCGGCTTTGCAATCTTCGGATCGTCAAAGACAAGTCCTTTAGAATCTTCGGACCGTCAAAGACAAGTCTTATAGGCCCTGTGAAGCAATGGCACGTCTCGACTCAAATGCTACGCGTCCAACGGGGCGATACTCGTCTGCCCGCATGTCCAACTTTCACAAATCTATGACTGGCTGGCTCAAAGCCGTGTTGTACCAGGAAGCATTGAAGCCTTCAATTCAACTCTCCCTGTGAGGCCTTCTGTTCTGCCCTTTCGATGTCAACGCGCTTGACTCGTCCGTACACCTTGGTGCATTCATAGGCTCGGGCAATCCCCGCGAAATGCCGCAAAATGCGGAAGCCCTAATATTTCAAGAACCCGTCAAACCGGCACTGCTAACTCCTGACGGCCTGCAGCGCCAAAACCTAAAAGCAGTACACTCTGAAGCCCAAGCCGACAGGTGTAGACTCGGAGTCCAGGGTGCTGCTGGCAATGCTTCTGTATGTGTAGAATACACCGAGTGGGTCGAAGAGACCCGAAGTCCAGCTGGGCCCTACTGCGCTGGTCAACCTCAGAGCTTCGCTGAATCCAAACCCCAGATACAAACAATATAAACAATGCACAAATTACACCAAATCATACACAAAACCAAAACAAATCCGAGAAACTCAGGAACTTCGAGCAACACCAGGCCGGGCCGAGGCAGCAGCTGAAAAAATGGCGGCCAGGTCCTCTTCCTTCAATGCCTCCGACCTTTTGAGGCGAGGTTTTCGCAGGCAGGGACCTGCAGGCCAGGCCCATCCTCTACACTTAGAGTTCAGTGACCTGCGAGAGACTGCGTCCAAAATGACTGCGAAATCATTCCACGACTCCAAGCTGGAGGATCAGAAACTTGTTCATGCCAAAGGTTCAGGCTTCAGTTGTCCGTGCTCCTGACCAATTACGAATGCAGCCTGGCAGGAGGTCCTTGTAAAGAAAACCACGTGTCATCAGGACATCCTTTGGGGCTTTGGTTGGCAAGCATGGGCAATCCGCGCCATTGAATGGATCTGGAACGTGTTCAGGGATCCCACGCACGGCCTCCAGACCACTAAGAACTCGGGTTGCGAATCCAAATTACTGGAACTATTGATCTGTTAAATGGTTTCTACGGCCACCCTCCCAAGCACTGAGCACAGGACACTGGTGAAACCATAACCACGGCCCTGCAAGGAGACAGCACAAGCACTAGGTTGAAGGTTTCGCGAGCAGACGCGGCCCCGACAAGGCACAGCAAGTCCCAAAAGCAAGACTCAAGACTCGCAGACATTTTCAAAACAAGCTCCAGCGGGTTGACATCCTGCAGCGACAACAACAGTAGTACCTTCTTGGTACAAGGCTGCTGAAAGTTCGCATGCGACCCATTGGGTCTCGATGGCTCAGTCAAGAATTGAAATCCTTGAACTGCGTCGCGTCTAGGAACATACGCCAACGAGCATCTCTTCACCCCATTCAAGCATGTGAAGCTGGCGAGGCATTTGTGACTGAGAACAATCCGAAACAAACTGCGGCAAGGAAACAGGAAGTTCAGCGAAAGATGTAATTGCACAAAATCTCATCGCAATCCCAAATCATACCTCGAACTGCAATCCAAAGCAGCCCTAAACCGCTCGTCACCACTCAGCATTTCAAGCTGCAGAGCGTGGAGGGGGTGAAGAACTGGATGTGGGGAGTTGAATGTGACGCAAGCTCCTGCTGTAACCTGCTTGTTCAATCATTGTCACTGCGTGAGGATTTGTGCACGCCTGGGGTCGTCCGCCCTATCTTCGAGCCGCTGGTGCCATCGACGACTTTGTTCATTGATGATCCGGAGCCTGCGAAAAAGGCTTGGGTTCTTTGCTGAGGAGGGAAAATTGTGAGGGCTCAGGGTTTAGTTTCGTCTTTGTGAGTTCGGGGCTCAAGATTCCCCAAAACACCCGAGGGTCTGGGCTGATCTACGCAGATTCTGAGCCGGGGTTCAGCCTGCTCGCTTCTCTCTCGGAGTCTCGGATTTGAAAGTTCTGCGTCGGAACGAAAAAAGCGGAGAGTGAGAGAACGCACGTGCGAAGCCGCAAGACCCATTCCTTTCTCATAAACACTGGAACCTGCACATGAAAACAACTCCCTGTCAGTGCAAGAATCGTCAAGATCAGGTAAGGCCCTAGAGACAACTATACCCACTGGGCGCCAAGATTAGAATCACAGCTCATATGTGTCGGGAGGAGATGCGAATCCTATGCTCAAAAACCTTGCGCGACGACCTCATGGTACCTGGGATCTGCATGTTGGAATGATGGCTCATCCGTTTACAAAAGCAATGAGTGCGAGTTGCGCCTGAAGCCCTATACAGCCAGAATTTGAAGAAAACTAACCGAAAAAGCCGAGGCTGCGACTTCTCTATCCGGTCCAGCATACTGGTGATGCTGTCGTCCACCTTCAGACAGGCTATACTTGGGAAGAAGAGTTGAAGGTTGCCGAAGACCTCGAGTTTTAAATCTGAGGTTCGGTTCTTGGTTCTTGAAGCCATACACAGACACAGAGAAACACAAAAGGTTAATTTGAGCGTGGAGCTTGAAGTAAAGCCCTACACTCGGACTCTGCAAGCAGCCAAGCCTCCTTCGTGCGAATGCTGTCGACCTGCTGCAGTATCTCCAGCCTCAGAGAAGCTTGTTCAATTCGTCCTGAAGTGGCTCGTGCGTGTGCTTGCCATGGCCTTTCATTTCCATGTCTCTATGTTGTGGGTGCACCAGTTATAGTCTGCAGTATCAGGACCAGACAAGATAATCGAATCGTGTCCGGCTGTTCTTGTGGGCCACATAAGAAGGCACAATCACAGAAGAATTGATAATGCAATTTGTGGCGCCGGTGGCACATGGCTTGGGGAAGTCTGGAAATAAAGCCGCCAACCCAAATGCTGAAATCCAAAGGCCTAAAGCCCACTCTGGGTTCCTGGGCTGGTTTGCATCGCCGATCCTGACCCAGCTTGGAACAGGAGCTTGCTCCGTGGTTCTTGAAAGTCTGAGTCTCCGCAGCGAAACATGCCAGCATCGCCTCGACCCACCGTCGCCAGCAAAACTCGAAACGGTACAGTGGAAGAAAAGCAGCCCCGTGCTCTCAAGGGGTAAATCCGGAAAGCGAAACGCAAGGCCCAAGACCTCGTCGTGACGAGGTAGTTGAAGTTGTTGCCGAGTAACTTTGCAACCTGCGTGGTTTGGACATGTGTGCAGAGTATACGAACGCGGCCGGTCCTTGAAACTTCTTGAGTCTTTCAAACCAGGCTGTTACAGGCCGAATTCAATTTTGATACTTCGAGAGGATCGGGTGGCTCAGCTTGGGGCTGCAGGCATCTGCTTTGGGTCAAGCCGTTTTGGATGTGGAACAAGTACACAGTACGTTGGATGCCCAACCTACTGATGATACGCCCAAAGCGATAGACTTCCTCAACCCCTCTCCCCCGGAGGTGGGTTCAAGCCGTGCGGATCCGGGTCATACGCTACTCGACTACATTCACTTGTCCCCGATGTCCGTTGGAGTATAAATCGCTGGCATGGCCGACTGTGGTCGGATGTTGCGGTTCGGACTCAAATCCACGAATCAGTTGTGGAATTCAGACTGTCTTCATGGTGTTTTGCTCGCTGAACCGAACGCATAACAGCCAAACCTCAAACCTTGCCAAAGAGTTTCACCTCGCGCTCTTCGAAGCGTCTCCTGGTCCGGTTTTCGCAGCGCGGTTTGTGAGGTGTAGCAGTTATGCGGATGAACTGACTGTACATGGTAACAAGGGCCGGAGATGGGATGTCCACTCTGTCAGCGCATGAGCTCTGACTAGACAATTTGCCCCTAGTTCGCTGCAAGGACCTGCAAAAGCTTAAGAGTAAAGAGGCGGCGAGGTGATGTTGATGATGATGATGATGATCATCATCATCATCATCATCCTCATCATCATCATCCTCATCCTCGTCTTCGTCATCAACATCTGCGCTACAATCGAAGTTGTCATCATCCCCACCGTAGTCATCACGTCGTCACATTGCCATAACGACAAGAACGAATGATAGCTTTAAGTTAGCATTGCCAATAGCAGCATAATGATGATGCTGCTGCTGCCGGTAGTGGTGGCGGTGGTGGTGGTGGTGGTGGCGGTGGCGGTGGTGGTGGTGGTGGTGGTGGTGGTGGTGGTGGGGGCGCCGGCGGCGGGGGTTGGCGGAGGTGTTGATGGGTGTGGTGGGGTGGCGGTGCTGCTGCTACTACTAATCATAATGCTGTTGTTGTTAGTGTTAGTGGTGCCAGGGTGCACTGCCGCTGTTTTTGCTGGTGCAGTTGTCGTCGCGAGAGCTGCCACTGATTATTGTCCGCTGATGTTGCCACTACTTCCAAGGGCTAACCGAACCCAATCCAAAAGTTGAAATCACCGGGCAATGCCAAACTATCCGTTCCAAACGACAGTTGCCATGGCTTCCACATGTGGTAAATCCGAGGCTATGCCTGTTGAACTTCGCTGAACCCCCAAACCACCGCGGCTTGAAAGCCTTCTTAGAAGCCCCCGACCCAGCGCTCCTGTCGAAACCCGAGCAGCAGACGTAGAAGGAGCTCTGGAGAGCCTCAGTCCGAGTGAAGATGGAGGCGCTGAAAACAGTCGCTGTCACAACGAATCGGCGTCCAAGGTCTAGGACGCTAGGAGTTTAGGATCCAAGGTAAAATCTCAAACCGTATCCCTGCTACTTGGAAGAAAGCTGTCGTATTCCAGCTGAGCTTGCGGTTGAGCATCCCTCGTCGCAGTTGAAGCGCTTGGGGACCCCTTCAGCTTGTTCTCCCGACGATCAAGTGCCAGGCGGAGTACTGGACAGGATGTAAGTCCACTGACGAATCATGCCTAGCTGCTCAGTATTTGGAATGCCTCAATCAGAAAGCCTTCACGATCGAAGAGAACTTCACAACAGCAGCCTTAAAAAAAGGATGAATGCAAAACCCGCAAGGCATGACGAACCATGCGCATAGATTAATCACTGAAAGCTGAGCTGGGCTCCACTCGGGGAGGCTGACCCACACTCAGCTTAAATCTATACAACCAAACCCAAGGCCACTTGGATCAGCACGTTGAAGTAGTCGGACTTCACATCTTTGACCTGCCAGCGGATCATAATCAATCAGACACCCCAGTTGCGACACCTGTAAGTTTCCAGTGGAAGCCCTGGCACTTCACGGTGAAGATCTGACAGTTAGTAGTGTGCTTCAATGAAGCTAGTGCCACTGTTCGAGTTCTGTGTTTGTGTCTGGGGTTCAGGACATCAGAGCCAAACGTGTCCTGCGTGACCTAGGAGTGAAAACTTGAAACTGTATGCACAACCTATTCGAATCGGCTTCCCAGTCTTGGGTGTCTGCGACATGGCTTCTCAGCACTGGATCTCGAAACCATCGCGAAGGAGGATCCGGTGCCCTTCCCAAGCGCCTGTTTAAACAGGTCGTGAAGTAAAGCGAACAGTCTCAAGGTGCACCTCGGCTTCTGCTGAAAGTACAGATGCTTCATATGGAAGAGTTTGCCTACCGAGTCTGCCGTCCGAGCCTTCAGGGTTCGGTGTGTTTTCGAGATGTGTTCTCTGCTCTGAGCACGGGGAATGCCAACTGATTTGCCTACAATCTGCAAACCGCCGAAAGCCCAGGCCGACGATCTAGCTTCAGAAATCCACTACCGTCGCAAGGGCGGCTCGGTCACTGCTAGTGCAGGACCTGCATTCCTGTATAGATTACATTCTCACTACCGGCCTTGGACCTAGGACTTAGGTCCTTAGGTACCTTCTTCGAGGAGTGAGTAGCAACACAATCTCGAACCATCATAATCCCCATAGGTGCGCAACAACCACATAATCACGTAATCCCTGCATCCACAAAAGGCTGCGCCCCTCCACAACAAACCCTACGGCCCCAATGCATTGATGGGCCTTGATGTTATCATCGTCCTTTAAACGATAACAGAACCCTCCACCCTGACTTCAGGAAGGGTGGGGAGTCTTCCCACACACGGCAGCTGTGCACCACGCTTTTTGTACCAAACCGTGGCCAGATCCTGCTTGTTCTGGAGGCTTTAGACAGAAAGCAATCTCTTTAGTGGGCAAGCTGGGATTTTGAGCTGAACCCTCGCCCTCGAATCGTTCGCTCCTCGGGAGGTCCATCTCTCCAGCCGAAGCGGAAAATCAGCATGCCGCCGGCAAGAAGCCTTCGAAGCGGGGATTCACCGCCTGAAGAAACCCTGCTGCATGCACGGAGAATCCTGCGCTCTGCATCCCAAACGAGCCTTGTCAGACCAAGCCAGAACTGCTTGACTAGCAGTGCCCAAACGCCGTGCTGCTTACCTAGGCAGGCTTCTGCATAGTTCAGGACTTGAAGGTATGTGTTCGCGATGTTGAGCGCCTGAACAGGTTTTAGAGGGCGCTAGACCCGCTCTTGAAGCGCTCAGGATGCCTCGTGTGTCTGAGGCTACTTTGGGGCTCGAGCGCCAAGCTTTAAGAGTCTGAGATTGAGCCCCGCCTCAGATATGTCTAAAGCACGATCCTGAATGCCCAGAATAAGGAGCATGCCACACGAAGCAGCACATGCCAAGCCCACAGTGCAACAACAGTCCTACAGCTTGTGGCTATCCGTCAAAGACCATCCCAACCTTGATATTCGGCCGGTATGAACTCCAAAGTCCTGGTCTCGAACCTCCAACATACAAACGTGCAAACACGTCATTCTAAGCCGCTCCTTCAGAGCCCCAGCTTGAGACACCCAACGACCCAACGTGACTTCAAACAGAAAGCCTAGGGGCCGAACATCTGAAACTTGTCCACTGCACAATCGGGCTCAAACGTTGGAACATGCTACCTCCAAGTTCTACATGCAAACACTGTCCAGTCAAAACATCGAAACCGAAATTGCAAACATGTAGTCCAAACAAATCTGCAACTGCCAAATTGCTGCGATTGGACGGGTACTTTCGAGGATGGCGGAGCTGAGGGGTTGAAGGTCCATGGCTCCATGCGCACTCTGTGCATTCGGTCCTTCGTGCTACCGAGAGGCTTCGGCAACGCACCCCTGTGTACCTGGCAATACTGACCCATGCCAACATCTACAAAGCTTTTCGACGCCCCGTGAATAGGCGCGCCACAGGCCCTTTGCCTCTAGCAGCTAGTGACTCACATGCATGAGCGAAAGAAAACCAAAAGATAGTCTACATCAAGCCGCATTCACGGTTTGCGGACCCACACAACATGTATATTCCAATGGAGGCCTCTCATCCCAGGCAACCTCATTGCGCATGTACTGCGCATCACCTGCGGCCAGTCAACAGCTCCGGACAGATCTGAGAGGGCTCGAAGACAAAAAGAGCAGGGACATCCCGAAACGCGTTTGATATGCCTTGGTTTGCCTACCTTCCTGATGGATCTTGCGAGGCGCCATGCAAGCCAGCGAGAGCAGCCTAGCATGCATCATTCGGCATGCGGGCTCAGAATTCCAAATACTACTGAACAAAGTCCTAGCTTCTCAACGCTCCGCTCCGAAACATCTGGGATGCGGACAAATGCAGATGTGAACTTCCTTGGCGACAAGGTCCGCCCTGAGCTGCTCCGGCAGTACGCTCAGTGGTCTGGCGTCTTGCATCTACCAGCACTGATGTTGGGACACTAAGGTTAAGGCTTGCTCGTGCACGTGCAGCTGCAAAAAGCTAGGACATTCAGCAACATTTGAACCACCCTGTCCCATGTGGAGATGCGACTCAATTGTCGCAGGGTGTTTCAATTTATTGTGCGTGCAAGCCAGACAAGCTGCACTCTGCAACCATCCAAGCTCGTTCATTCAAGACCGAGATGTTGCACCCGGACCTGTATCTTGAAGCAATAGTCACAGTTCCTGATCTCGAATCTCCAAGCCCCAACCACTCAAACCCAAGAAGCTCAGCTAGTGCTGCCCATGCTGCCCAATCTAGGTACGGAAATCTCTGGCGCCTAAAGCCTTGATCTGCTCCAACAAGTTGCACCATGTGGCACGCTGTGGTACACTGCTTTTTTTTGGACTCCTTTCACCAGTTCAGCTCCAGGATGCTCCATCTCGCTTATCAGCATCCAAAATGCTTCGAGGTCCCGGCGGCCCGAGCTCAAACAGGTCTCCTGGCTCTCGTCCGCAATCAGAGATTGTGAACTTCACATGAAGCATGAGCTGACACCGGCACTCTCCTTGTTGCAGCAGGAAGTTGGGCGACCGCAGACCTGGAACAGACAGCCAAGACTTCCAGGTCTAGGGCCAAGAGGTTTATTTATAATTATGGGTTGAAGATTGACGAGGATGGAATCTTGATCGCATTGTACACGATCCCCGTTCCTTTGTTGCACACTGTCGCTACAAGTATCGAGTCACGCTTAAGCAATGCGGCTTCCAAACCTAGAGCTTCTCGTCTAGAGCTGTCCCGCTGACCTGAGGGCCTCTCAGACCTGTGAGGTGCAAACCTCAAATCCCGAATGCTGAAGCGACAGCAAGTTCTGGGTTCAGGAGCAACAATCATGACTGCGTGGACCAAACTCCAAGCGTTTGCAGGCTTTGCATGTGTCATGGCTCCACAAGCAAGACACGCATCCAGGCTTTTAGAAACCTCGATTTCACAGTTCAGAGCCTCTCATGTCTAATGATGTGATTCCTGCCCAGCCGACCGAAACACAAGACCCTGAAGCTAGCCTGAAAGAACATGCCCTTTAAGAGTCAAGCGTCCATGAAAGGAGGGTCCGATGGCTGCCATACACCATTGAGCATTCAGGCACACTGGGATACTCACTTCTACCAGCCTCAGGAGCGTAGAGACCAGAAGTTGGAACGTGTTAACCGGATGAATCCTGCCCCGCTTCCCTCCTGTTCCCTCCATTCCAGGCTTTCGGGTTGGGAGATAGATACTATGGTTACTATGGTAACTTTTCGACTTTCCGGCTTCTCCTGGCGTGCTGCTCCTTCTGGAACAGACTCCTGAGTGCTCTGCGCATTGGAAACCCTCCCACAGTCGACGGGAGAGTAACGCCAAAGCCCATGCGACACCTCATGCAAAGGGAACGCTCGACCCGACACGAGCTGCCAACGTGTATGGACAGGAACCGCCGCCAACGTGTATGGACAGGAACCGAACTTCAGAACTTCCCTCGGGCCTTGGGTCCTCCAGGAGGTAGGAGCTGAAACCTCCAGGAGCCTCGAGGTTCCAAGAGACAACGTAAAGGACGCAGGAATCTGGAGAGCTCCAACGACGGTGCAAGCCTTTCCTGGCTTTAAGGGGTCGCTCAAAGGCTCAAAGTCTTAGGGTCACGGAAGAGCACCTCAGAGTTCAAGTCTAACTGAATCCCTAGCTTCCGGGATCAGAGCAACTGCCCATGCGAGTAAGATCAATGCAAGTGCACTGAACTCAGCAGGAGATGGCAGCGAGAAGCTTCAGGCCTTACCTCAGCGCGCTTGCACCCTGAAGCCCGGGCCAAACATCCACAAACCAACCGCTGCAAAAATAATCCGAATTCCTTCTGGGAGGCGCGCGCAGCCCAAATCGAGGAACTTGAAGCCCTTCTCCGGAACCAGGTCCCTGGGCCAAGGGTGCACTGTCGAGCCTAGGACGTCAAACCGAGAATCGCAGACATCGCTTTCTTCCAAACTTGGGTTCTTCAGGTTGGGAGTGAAGGCGCCCTGTCTAGTGAGCAAGCGCGATTTGCGTCTAAAGTACACGCGCCCCTTGCGTCGAGCTTGCACGCTAGCGGTGCAGGAAACCTTGCGCTTTCTCTGGTTTTCTGGCGTGGGGGGTGGGGCAGGGCGCAGGGACAGGTACCGGGAGGGCGGAATGAAGGAAGGCATGGAGGAAGACAGGCAGGAAGAAACCAAGACAACTATAGGAGAGAAGGAGCGCAAGAAGCAAGAAAGGAAGGAAACTGGGCAGGAGGGAAGGATGGACGGAAGGAAGGAAGTGAGGGAGGGAGGGAAGGAAGCTTCCGCACATTCTTGAACATCATCGCCTGAATCCGTCCTGCACTCCACGAAGATGAAACCCGGAAGGAAGGCGGAGCAAACCCTGAAACGAAAAGTCCAAAAATGTTTCCAGAGATGCACTCCAAAACGAGGAAGGCGGAGCAAGCCCTGAAGTCCACCCGAGGATGCAACCCTAAAACGAGGAAAGTGGAGCAGAAGACCCTAAAGTCCTCCCGAAGATGCAACCTAAAAGCCAGGAAGGCGGAGCAAACCCTAAAGTCCTGCTCTGTCTCTCTCTCTCAATCTCTCTCGCAGGTCGCTCGGTCGTCCCAGAGGTCGGCTATGTCTCGCAAAGGCACGTGCCACTGCAACCACTGTCCCAAATGGAAATCACTGTAGCAAGAGCACAATATACAGGCAACCAGAACCTCTCCTTCCGCTGCAATGATGTTGATCCGCTGCGTCAGTGGCATTTCAACCTTGCGAGCCTTGTGTGTAACCGCCGATAGCGTTGGGGAATTTGTCCACCCGAGCCGGACACCCTTGGATATTCGAAAAGACTCATGCTCCTTCGTCGCCAGGAGCAATTCATATAATTCCGAACCTGCTGCGGCATCTCCTTCTTCCATGGCACGGCCACCACAAATTTCCGTGCGATGGCCGAGCAAAGGAACTCCCGAAGATCCAACCCTAAAACGAGGAAAGCCGTCCTAAAGCCCTCCCTAAGATGCAACAACCCCAAAGCGAGGCAGGCGGAGCAAGCCCTGAAGTCCTTCCGAAGATGAAATCATAGAGCGCGAGGAACCCTAAAGTCCTCCGGAAGATGAAGCCCTAAAGCGAGGAAGGCAGAGCAAACCCTGAAGGTGGCTGGGAAGGCCTAGGCCCTAAGCCCTGAAAGCAGATGCTGCGTGGCAAAGCCCGAAACCCGAAAAGGAGTTGTTGGGTGGGAAGCCGCTGTCAAGCCCTTAAGCTTAAAAGGAGTTGTTGGGTAGGAAGCCCGCCTGGCTGGCAAAGCCCTAAACCCTAAAGGAGGTGTTGAGTGGGAAGACGTGTTGCATGAGAAGCGTCTGCCAGCCGTAAATCCTCCTACCCTAGACCCTCCGTTTTCGTCCTGTGAACTGCGAACACGTCGGCTTTTGCGCACTCAACCCTACCCTATAGACCTTCCGTTTTCGCGAAGTGAAGAGGGAAAACGTGGGTTTTTGCGTACTAAACCCTACCCTGCACACTCCGTTTTCGTGCCGTGAAGTGCGTCTACATTGGTTTTTGCACGCTTTAAACTTTAAACCGGACCCCGTGCGAGCATCTCAGATGCGTGTGTTGCTGTGTAAGCCTTAGATTTTTTTGTGCGTGCGCCTGAAGCACCCGGACGATCTCGGGGTGAGGGCTTGAGATTTTCTGATGAAGCAACTCTGAGCAAGATCAGGCCTGAGATAATTGTGCGCTTCAAAGAGCTCGCCCATGACGCCATAGCACTTCTGAAAGTGAACCTTGTCACTGGCTGAGGTTGTCGTGTTCAGGGATTTCGGGCTATGGGACGAGGGGCTTTAGAGCTTGGGTTTTGGGTTTCTACCTGTAGGATGAGCTGGGCTGGAACAGAAGCTTGGCAGGCTTGGCTTACGAGCTTCGGGAGGCAAGTGAGCCTCTATCATCGTCAGTAAAGGCGCAGTCGAACTAAGGCTAAGGGCCGTTGTCCCGGGAGCCACAGTGCCTGTAAGCCTGCAGCATCACCTGCTTGCATCTTGCATCTCCAAGCCTTGACAAGTCAAAGCTCAATGCTCCACCCTGGATCCCAAGCACCCACACGCTGTCAGTAAACACACCGCCACCCCCTTCACCTTGGAGAGGCCTCGGTCTCGTAGTGGGCGTTTCGCTGCTTGTACTCCTGGTCCATGGCCAGCTGAGCCTGGGCAGCCACGGGGCGGCCGTAAATCAAGGACGCTTTTATGGGATTTACTGATGTTTCTGGGAAATGCCAGGTATAATCCAGAAAAACTCTATCAAGCTTTCTGGTCCATGCCATACAGGCAAGTCCTGGTAGTGTTCCGAAGTTTGGTTTGGTTTTGCCATAGGCGAGGCTTTCAGGAATTTGCTTTTGGGTGTTGGCGGAGTTCGGGATGAAGAACCTTAGAACCTTGATGCTCCAAAGCTTTGCAGCTCCGAAAAGACTCCAGTTTTTGGATCGCTTCGAACAGACTCTATTGTAATATGCAGGGCTTCTTGGGTTCTGGCTTCTTGTTGGTATTGTCGAAAAGTTGGGGCTTTCGGGTGCATTTGAGACTGGATTGCTGCCAAGCACTTTAGACTGCAAAAAGCCTCAGTGTTCCAGTTCCAGTGAAACATGGGTTCAGAGTCTGACAGCATACTCGTCGTAGAGCGGCTGCTCCATGGCGCCAACCATGCAGGAAAGAGGCTAGCTGAAGGCGCCTACCAGTTGTTGTACAGTCGCTTGCAGATGCGGGTAGAGGCTCGAATCTTGAAGCTGTCGGCGCAAATGTTTCGGGAAAGGTCTTGGGAACTCAGTTGCTAAGGGGGTTGCGGGCTGTGCAGCCCCATTTCGGGGTACTGCCCCAAGCGGCATCCAATCCGGAGTTGAATGGAACGCTCGAACGTTTCGGGAAATGCCGCCAGGGCCACCAGTGCCTCTTGGACTTAGCTCCGGATGGTAAACTGCGTATGCAGGAGGCTATGCCATGTCTACAGTCTACAGAATTTCAGGTTTGGCAGAGAATGCCTTGTTTTTTTCAGTGGAACCTTGTCCGTTTGACAAAACCTTGTGCCCTAACCCAAACGAAGCATGCCAACAACAATTTGCGCACAAGTTGTGCTCAATCTCACGTGGCTCAGGATGCCGACAGGCTGATGCCAAACATCGCGGGGCAGGCTTGGTGCGGTGCCGCAGCGAATGTCGCCGCAGCGCGTGTCAGCCAACACAGAGCAGCGAATCCTGAACCCGAATCCTGAATCAGCCTTTGGGCCTTTTTCACCCAGTAACTGAATTTGAAATTTGAACTGGTTGCAACCCCGATACTGCCAAGCCGCAGCCGTAGCATCAAAAGGTCCTAGAAAAGCCCGTGCCTATGACTACCCTCGAAACTATAGACTTGCTCGATGCAAAAGAGACACCTCGTCCCTGTCCAACCGCCAATGCTCACAAATGCTCTACATACTCTGAACGGCAGACATTGGGCTGACTGAAGATTGCTTTGTCTCGCGGCCGGCAGGCTGTCTCGACATAACGCGTCCCAGGTGGTTGGGCTAAGTGAGGGGTCACCATAAAACTACCTGAATTCCGTAGGATGGCGAGCATTGGGTTGAGGCCACAGATGTTTCATGGCTACAGATTTCGTCGCAACGCAGCTGACACAAAGAGGGCCACGAGAGATATAGAATGACTGCCCACTGCCTGCTATGTAGCTCTGGCATGGCCCTACAAGCAGCTAGGTGATTCCCAGCACGACTCCTGGCAGTCATCTCTTGTCGTCGCAGGACGGGGCTGAGGGATTGGGGTGAGGCTGGGGTGTCGATGCTCGGGGGACTGCTGGAGGCGGTGCCGGGAACCAACCGACGATTCCTCGCAGCTAGCTTCCGGGGTCGTCCCCTTCTCCTCTCCTTCTTCTGCGACGGTGCTTCCGCCTCAGGACAGTAGCGGAAGCAACCAACCGAAGCTGACAACAAAATCATGAAAGCAACAAGGAAAGTTAACGCTCAGGCTACCGAGTCCAGCCACTGTCAAAAACGCCTTTGCGATGCTTGTGAAGCATGACTTCATAATACTCTGTGAAGATGCGCTAAATATGCATTAGCAGCACCACTTGCTGCCAATGCATTGACCAAGTTCGACGTCGCATCCAAAACCTCAGCACTACAATGGTCAGGATGGTATTTGCCAGGCTCCCTGCTCACCGTCCTCGCGGCTTTTGGACCTGTCCTTATCCGGGTCCTGACACACGACAGATGAAGTTGCCTCCGAGCCGAAAGGTTCTACGCATGTCGCCAAACCCAAATCACTGGATCCTGAACAAACTTGCGAGGCCGCAAGGAAATTCGAGCGCTCTTTGGGCTCCGAACGAACATCTCGAGTCCACAGCCCAGAAGCATAGGAACACCCAAGCTGTTGTCGCTTTAATCAAATGCATTCCACCTTACCAAATGTCTGCAGCTTCTCAGCTCTCCTTATGTCGCCGTCTATGCCGCTTTCTCTCTGGCTCAGCTCCTGCCAGCAGCTTCTGGGTACAGAGCGTGATTTGCTCGACCTAGCTTACATCGCCTGTTCGTCGTCAAAGTTGCCAATCTCAGGTCTTGCCAAGCCCACTAGTTGCAGCTAAGGCCGCTGAGGACCACGACTCCACGGCTCCGGGGAGATCTTCAGCCTCGAATCCTTATACCATGAGCACTATGTCCACCCAGAAGCGCCCCCTTGAAGCCCCTCAACACCGTCAGGAGCGGTCCGTCAGTAGCGGCCGGTGCCTGCAGAAAGGGGCTGGAGTCTTGGACGCTCCCCTTCGAAAGGTGTTTAGGCAGAAATCTATTCGAAGAGCTTCATGGCGCTCCGCATGCTTGATTCTTTCAAGTGTAAAAAGAATGGATTCGTGTGTCTGCAAAGCGAGCCATGGACATCGTTCCGGCTCATATTTTTCATGCCAGCACTTGGAAAAAATTGCCGGTCAGCCTCCTGATTCCACCAGTAAAGACCTGGAGGAAAGCATGTTGGTGGTCTTTTGGTTGTCTCGGAGTATCCTCCTGGTCTCCGGTGGTCTCCTGGTGGTTTCTTGCCGGTCTGTTGTTTGTCTTGGTCGTCCTGGCCATAGTGGTCGTCTTGGAGGTTCTGGTGGTCCTAGTGGTCGCGGTCGTCATCGTCGTCATGGTCGTGGTGGTGTTCGAGGGTCTGCGCTGGCATTTTCTTGTTGAAGCGATGCACTTAACTTCGTGTCAGCCGTAAGCTCGATGAGAGAGAAAACCCGTTGCTCGGTGCTACTACCGATTAGATATGAGTCACAGTCATGTGGTGGTGCATCTTTGCCTTACACCTGGGAAAGATATTCAAAAGCAGAAGTTTGATGACTGCGGACCTCGCAGAGAACCCGGGAACGAATGTTGAACTATCCTGGAGTTTATGTTTGAGGGTTTCAAGCTGTGTCGGCTCCGGAACACTTACACCTTTCACTCCTAAACCCGGAATACTTAGACGGATGCACCGGCCCATCTGCTTCTATCCTGACCCTTCTACATCCGAAAGCTAGGTCCCAACTTCAAACGCGGAGGGAGACACAAACAGGTTCTCCCCTCAAAGCTGCAGAAACATGAAGTCGATGCGCTGATTGGACCAGTCATGAAAGCAAAATTAGTTATTCCAAGTTCGCAGATCAACACGTGGAGCCCCGAACTGCTGCGAAAAAAGACTGCCTCGACGAAGTCTCGACAGTCTCTGCACTAAATCCCTGAAAAACCTACTCGGCCAACTTTCTTTCCCTGTTCAGGAGGCGTTGTTCAATGCTCTCCTCGGGCCTGCACGTCGCCCGGCGGTGCGTCTGCAGGTGCCTTTAAAATTTCGGCAGTGTTTGGAATTCGAAGCACTCGTCTCAAGAAATGGTGATACCAGGCCGCAAGAGCCCCGGACCCCTCAAGAGATATACAGCTTTGGAGGTAGCGAACTCGGAAATTGAAGGAACTCAGAAACTTTCCATAAAAGCCGTGTCTCTCCATGTCAAACTCCTTGAGGATGTGCCCGATGGCCCGAAACCCATTTAGGACCCAGAGTCCCCACGGAACGCACTAACATCAGATTCTCCGCCGGCCGCGTGCCTGAACGTCTCCTGGCGGAGCGTCCATCGGCGCCCCTTCCGCCTCTTGGGCCTGGCAACATGCTTCTGAAGTGTGGCTTCCCCAGGTTTACAACAGAAAGGTCCTGGGCTCCAGTTGGCTCTAGAAACTCGAGAGCTGTCAATCCGATGCCAAAGAAATTCGGGACGTTTTGACTCTGTCTTGTCTTAATCATTCTGATCCGTGCCGGCGACCGACCCTGTTCCCAATCCCAAAGCTCAGATGGAGTTTGAGCCAATCGCAGCAGTGTCGATTGAAAGTTCGCACTTCTGCGTGCGCTACACATCCAAGACGTACACTGGTCGAAAAATAGCGGCAGCCTTCTGCCCAAATCCAGAATCTCTCCTAGGACACCTTTTGGGAAAAACGCTCCGGGACTCTGAATTTTGAAGCCGCTCGAGACCTGAAGCCGCAAAGCTAACAAAGGCCAAAGCTGTCGCCCTCGAACCCACATTCGATGTCTGGCAATCACTGGAGGGTGCAGCAGGAACGCGGGTTGTTGGGAAGGACGCAATTCAGACTTGGCATTGGGGTTCTGGGCACAAGAAAACCTATCAGCCCAGTACTCTGCCGGCAGCCTCTGCTCTTTCTGCTCTTCGACGTTTTCGACCCTCACCGTCACCTTTCGCTCCAAGCGAGT